GAAAGGCAGACGTCATCAAGATGTTTGCCAAGAGATGTCAAGATGAGGCAGCATTAGGGTACGAAAAACAGCAACAGCAACTTCGGCAACAGCAACGTTATCAACAAGATTATACATCTCCACGCTCAACTTCGCCACACATCCCAGAGACGCAGGGAAGCAGCGCAGCGGCCCTATCGAGTAGCGGTAATCCACCCAATAGCGAACATTCAACTGCTAGAGAACCGCATCAATGGCTGCAAAGTATGGCTGATAATGCTCGTCCTCGTGCAGATATTGCTTTGTACTTGGGGGATATTCAGGATCATATAATAACCATGTTCCAAAACTTATTGGCCTATGAAAAGATTTTTTCACGGTCACATTCCAACTATCTTGCGCAATTGCAGGTTGAGAGCTTCAACTCCAACAACAAGATCACCCAGATGTTCTCTAAGGTTACCATTATTGGTACCATGTTGGTGCCATTGAATTTGGTTACTGGTCTATTCGGTATGAATGTGAAAGTTCCTGGTCAAGATTCAAGTATTGCATGGTTCTTTGGTATTGTGGGTGTATTGGTTGTTGTGGTAATCGCAAGTATAGCATTTGCCAATTGGTGGTTGAAGAGTATAAACAGGCAAATCAACAATGAGAATAGAGGAGGTTTGATTTCATCAAGAAGAAGTATTCGGAGCTTGGGGTTGAGACGCCACAGTGCTAAGTCTGTGATAAGTTTTCCTAATAAGTACGAGTAATTTGTTGTAAAAGGAGTTTGATAAGGTTTTATATAAAATCATATACATATTTATTTGAATTAGAGTGGATTTAACATTGTCGTAGAGCTCTATTCGTACACTTTCTACTGGTATTGATTAGAAGCCAAGGAAGCCAGGTGTTTACTGGAGAGTCGAAACCGTTGGCCTTTGAGTTTGGGTGAATAGTTGTGTGAATCATCTTCCTAAACGTTATTCCAGAGGGCCGCACTAGAGAAGTATCGTAGATAGAAGTTGTGGCTCTATTCACTTTAGAAAAACAATGTCGTAAATATCAATCCCGTAAATGCCACATGTAAATTGACAAAAAGGGGATTCACCTTCTACAACTACAATCAGAAACTTGACATCGGCATTTGGTAGACAGTAAACTTTGACATGGTGACAGAAGAGTGCAGAGTAGCTGGTTGCTGTAATTAGGTCTTCCACTTCCAAATCAGCCAGTGAATACTGGGT